AACTTCAACGTATATCAGTAATAGTGATCATATTTAAATTATATACAGCTGTTAGATATTTGTACATTGCAAGATCAATAACTTCAACGTATATCAGTAATAGTGATCATATTTAAATTATATACAGCTGTTAGATATTTGTACATTGCAAGATCAATAACTTCAACGTATATCAGTAATAGTGATCATATTTAAATTATATACAGCTGTTAGATATTTGTATATAATTTAAATATGATCACTATTACTGATATACGTTGAAGTTATTGATCTTGCAATGTACAAATATCTAACAGCTGTATATAATTTAAATATGATCACTATTACTGATATACGTTGAAGTTATTGATCTTGCAATGTACGCATGAAGAGCTTAGATGCAAATTCTTACCATTTGAGAAAATAAAATTTTTTCTTCAGCCTTCACCAAAAGTACTGTGAAATCCAAAGTGAACTGTATGAAATCGTTAAAATTTATTATATAAAAATAATAATAAGTATCAAACTATATTGCGTACTTCAAATTTTACAAAATGTTTTTTAATTTTTGGACAAAACACTTTATATCATTAGTTCAAAATACAACATTACCACTGACAGCTGAGTTTTATTGGGAGTGGTTTATAGTGTGTTTTGCGTGTAAGCTCTTCAAACATGTATTTGGTCAAGTATTTTATGTTTTTTAACAGTTAGTCATTAGGATTTTTCTGTGCAACATGTAGAATACCCCATTCATGAACTGTCAAAGAAATCACCATGAACTATAATCGTGTCTAATATAAAACTTTTTATAATTTCTTACAATCTTTCTAGAGTTAGCAACCAAACTTTACTGGGCTTCTACTGTAGAGAAAAACAATGTAATAATATTGTTATATTAATTTGAACATGCTTGTTACTCTGTGTGACTGAGAGCTTGTGAATTAAAGGAATATGTATGTTTGTATATATATATAGTTTTTGGTCCGAGGTTTAGACTTCTGTAGGTTAGGAGTTTCTGGGAATTGAGTGGGCCCCTAAAGATATGGAATAAAAGTTAAGTGTTCAGCAGGCACAGTATAATGGTAAAGTTTGTTGTTGATATGAATTCCACATCTCTATGATAATACAGCAAAGTTTCTCTGAAGGAGTTTTTAAGTATGTATTTAAAGTATTTTAATCACTGAACAACCTCATATTAAGTTGTTGATTTTGTAAATAGATCAGACAACTTTTAGATATATATTATAGATGAAAATGAAGTTTATGTTAGATATACACGACTGTTTTAATGTAAGTGTAGCACGAGTATTGGAATTATTATTTCGAATTAATAATATTTTCAACTACTCCAATTATCCAAGTCTTATGATGGGAGAATAATCGATTAATGAGTCTGGCAATTAATTAACTAACAACATCTACTAATTACTCGGCCTTAATACAGAGTACTATATTACTCGGCCTTAATACAGAGTACTAGTGCGTTGTAGAACTTATTCCCTTCCCTTTTATATTTTCTGTGATAATGTTTTGTATGTTAATAAATTCATCACCTAGTTCTAATTATTGCTCTTTGTAACATCTGTATGTGCATCTCTTGTGTGTTTCCATAATTATTTTCATTACTTTATATTAGTTATATCTTGTATATATTGCAAACTGTGGTGTCTGTCTGAGCATTCTTCTGTCTCCCATTTACGGCAGCTTGCTTCCCTTACTGCGCTTGAAAAGCTGCGCATAAAGGCAAAGCTTGACATTCACTTCCGATACGGCACTTCCCTCTGCACACAATATTAGCTATTCTTCTTCATTGCTGTCCTCTATATGTGAACCTTTTTATTACGCATGCCACAAGCCTTCTGCAGCCCCCTATTGGAATCAAATGATTCCAACATGTCTCTCATGCAAATCTTCATGCATCACTTCTTCACCAATAGGAGAATAGTACACTCATGTGATTTCCTCTATGTGCCTCAACCGAACTATCACTTCGAAGTTTGGCAGCACTTTTACTCAGTATTTTTTTTTTTGTCATTCTGTACTGTTGCACACTTATATTTAATATAGTCATGAAGTGGTCTTCATTTATTATAACTTCCAGGTTCTCTGGAGTTTGAAATGTGCCTTCATTTATCTCAGCTTATTCCAGTCGCATCCTGAAGCTAGTGTTACTACTTTGGGGGTTACGTCTATGACTAGCGCTATCTCACAGGCTGCAGGTGCGAGCGACCTGGCATGGGTTTTTTTATTGGTGTTTATTCTCTGGGAGATTGAACATTAAATGGGTTTTGCCTATAATTCCTCCTGTAGAAGCCGAACTCATTTGGGTGGATGGAAATCTTGTTGGCCTTTTTCCACAACCGGATTTCATTTGTTTGGTTCTCCATTCCCAATACAGAGATTGTGTGTTCTTTTTGAATGTTTATAATGGCTTTCATTCACCTTACTCCACAGACGGTTTCTGCCTTATTTCGTTGGGAGTTTGATCGTCTAATGTCGGATCTCGCTTCATTCTTTGTGGTCTACCATTTGCCATACAGTCTGCTGACTTTGGAAAGATAAGATGTTTTATAATTTTATTCTTAATATTATTACCTGTAATTATTTGAATTTCATAACATACACGTATTTAGATTAGTTCATACTAAGTTACGTTAAGATTGATAATTAGTCTTCATTGTTTTTCTTCTATACCATTCGATTAGGCTTAACATGGAAGTCCTTCATTAGTTTAACTATGTCATTTCCTTACTTTTATATAATCATTTCTATTTCATTTGGTTAATAATATTTTCTTCACTTGGCTTGAGTGGAACCCTTGAATCAGGGTCCATGCAGACTTGTCCCAGTATTGTGCCTATTTATTGTTCAGTTTTTGTTCTTCTTGATTTTACTGTAATTGTACTTTAGATTTCCTTGTTATTTCTGTTCACTTCCTTGTTGGATTTGGTTTCATTACTGTATTATTTATTGGTTATCCTGATATGAACCTGTCCATAAAACTATGGGAAACTAATAAATTAATCAATGGTAAGAAGGATAAATTATAAACTAAATGAAATGAATGGTAATAATTATAAAGTAGGGATGAAACAAAAGAAACTGTAAAATGATAAACTATAAAGTAAAACCAAATGAATTAGTCAACATATTAAAATGGGAAGAAAGCGATGTAGGGAATGAATCCCATATGAAGTAGTGGTGAAGAAAAACTGGAACCTAAGTATATATTAACCCGTTAATAAAACCACTACCATGGTTCCATATTTTTCTGCAACTCAACATCATAAGGGATGTATTCCCTACACCATTTTCTTCTTGTTTTTCGCTATGATAACTATTTCATTTTGTTTTTCTTTATAGTTTACACTTTTTACAGTTACTTTAGTTTAATCTCTACTTTATACTTCTTACCATTAATTTTGTTTTGTTTAGAATTTATCTATCATACCAGTAATTTATATTCATGTCCCTGGGAGCTGGAGTCTACCGTATCTGCTTCCACTATTGCTCACCCATATAATGGCTGAACCCATTTTCCAACATCCTAAAATTGTCCCTGACCTTATCATGAAATGCTTTCCATGCTTCTATAGCAGTATCTGCTGGAACTACTTTACATTTTTTTCAGAAACATTTTGGAGAATATTTTCTTCTTGCTTTCTGTGCTATTTCTTTTGTCTCTTTTGGGTTTGGGTACTTACAAGCCTTATAGATCTCAAAGTTAAAAGTGAAAAAATATATAACCAAAGATAAAGATGGAATACTTACTGAAGTGTTGGTTAAGGCAAAGAAAGTGTTTTGTTGGAATATTTTACAAATAATCCAATTTCACATAGGAAATAGTGTGCTAATTCCTGCTTTAAAAATAAAAATATTGAATTGACTTTATTTTCTTGAATGTTGTACCCTAAAAACTTTACGAAATTACTGCTGAGATTCTAAAATATGCAATTTTGGAAACTTCCGAAATGGAAGTTAAGAGAACTGTCAGCCTTAATCGAACCTGAAAAATTCGTCATCAAATACACTTTCTTGGTTGTTGTCTTATCATTTTTCAGGTGTACATTACACAAAGCAAGTTTGAAATCAAACCTTTGTATTGAATTCTATATTGAAGCTTAGTTTTCTTGTAACCACATTGAACTTGCAAGTTGTTGAACTTCTTTGAGTAAACTTTTTTTTTTGTATATAACTTGGCCCAGTTTTCTAGCAGTATTGTTTTGTTGTTAATTTTCAAGAATATATAGAATGCTTATAAGCTTATAGTAAATTGTGTGTTTGTATGTCAATATTAAATATAATAGTTTTGAATGAAATATTTTCCTTAAGTAGAACTTAGGCAATTTCATCTTTTCTTTTCAATTGATTTTCTGCAAGATTTCTCTTCTAACTTGTTTACATCTTTTAAGAAAATATTCCAATCAGATGGTAAAAGAAGGAGCAATTACAATGATAATACTAATAATGTATAGCTTTTAATTTTTAGTTTTGTTGAAAAAATGTCTGTTTATAATTACTTTGAGCATTTGTTCCCTAGTTTTATGGTAAAAAGTTGTAAATCTATTTACTAGCAATTCCGTTAATTGGGTGGACAAAATCTGAATTTTTAGAATTGTTCACAAATTTAAAAAAGTGTGCATTTGGATTTCAGTAATTTTTTATTCATGCAATTATTTGTTTTGTTAACAATTGTATGAATAGTAGATGTTATTTGGGATGTATACAAAAGATGGCTTCAAATGCAGTGTTGTTTTTGAAATTATAAGTAATGAATTAGGATTCTGAATTTAATATTTTTTGTTGATGCTTTATTATCTTAGCTGGGAAACTGCAAAACCAGTTGTGATTGGAGTACGTGGAGCTCATATTTCCTTTTTCAGTGTAGTGAAAGAAGAGTTACTTCACATCATTGATTTATTTGTTGGTGAGCATAATTATATTTTGTTTTTTTCTACTTAAGCATCAATTAAAGGTATGTTAAGTCTTTAGAGACTATTTATAAACAGTTCTTTAACAGAAGTCCATATAAAGCATTATTTGTTTATTGTACAAGAAGATTTTAGGAAACTAGTGAAAAATCCACACTTCCAGAAACTGAAACTGTAGGAGATCAAAGGTATCTGCACTTTTATTTGCCATATCATGTAATTACATTTGTTTTTTTGTTATGCTCAGGTTTTTCATAAATTTGATTTTTATTCAATATTACTTTTGCAGTATCATCAAATTTTCCTCAATCTATCACAATCATAAAAGCCAAGTGTTGGTTGATCAGTCAGTTGGTCACGTTCAATTTCTCTGAATTTTGTCAATTGCACGAGCCCAATTCCACTTTTTCCTCCTATAATATTTCCTCTTTTCGGTTGCCCGTTCTTGTTTTAGTTGAATTCTATCGCTAACATGGGCGTAAATAGCTCTCAAATTTCAGCACTTTTTCTGCTAAATAAAAGCCTATCAAGGAGGGAGTTTTTATACCAAGAATTTATCTAGCACTGAGTGAAATTAATTTGTCATGAAGAAAAGTTTTTGAAGGATGATCGAGTATTTACAAGAAATGTGGTTGTAAGAGAACTAGTGTAATAATGTAATTAGAAAATAACTGTGATCAGTGAATCATGGGACAAGGATTGATGGTGGGAAGAGACACTTTAGGTAAAGGAGGTATTGCTCAGGATAGGCTTTGGTTTCCCAAAGCTAGAAGGCCCTTTATTTTTCTTGTGTCTGTTTATGCAAATTTGTAAATGCATATTGAAGGATTCGAATTTGGTAGACTTTTATACCAGCCAACTAAATAACCACCCAAATTAAAGTTATTTTAACATGTTGGCTGCCATGTGCCCCATTGGTGGGTCACAGACAATTATGTTTTGAAGCCAAAATTTTCTTGTGGCATATGAGTTTGGGACACTGTGACTGCTTCTTGTCACCTTTTGAAGGTTTAATTTTATTTATACTTAATTTATTATGCGGCAGCCACTGTGTTAAGACATCAAAACTAATAACCCGTTAATAATGCTTCAGATTCTTTTAAGAAGTATGCATAAAAATAAAATTTATTTGCTTCTTGTCCTATTTATTTGGTCCAAAACTTAGCTTCATTTTTTTTTTTCTTGTTCATTAGCAGGGGCACTGTGTTCTAAAGCAGTTGATAATATGCCATATTGTCACTCAAAAGAAGATATTATTCAGATACTGCTTCCATCATATTCTTCTTTTAAATGACTTTGAAATGTGAAACATTTTTCTGATGAAGCACATTTTGTGATGATCAGAAAAGCTTTTGTAAAACCATTCTTTTGACTTAAGAATAATTTTAGGAGTGGCTTTTCCCTAAAAGCATAGAATTTAGCATAATTAAAATAATTAAGAACAATTTTGTTTCTTTAAAATAACAATCATTACGATTCACTACTGTGAAATACTCAAGTCCCAAATGAAAAACATTAACATTTGACCTTACAAGTTGTGATTCTTCAAGCTCCAGTTCAACTCTGCCTTGGCTAAGTATAATTTTTCTGTTATTCTTTTGTTTTCAAAGAGCCTCTTCTTGTATCTTTGATACATAATCAGATCCTGCTCAGTGGCAAGTGTTTCCTGGTCAGGTATGCCTTACCTTAACTTACACCTGCTACCTTTAAGGTTGTAACACAATGTTCAGATGGGGCATTCTTCATGACTACTAGTGGTATATATCTGTATATATGTATTATTCTATTCCGTACTTGATGAACCTTCACTCATGAACTATCATGAGTAAAGCAGGAGGGGATTTCTGCCCATCCCTGCCACTTCCTTGATTGAACAAATCAGAATGGTCTGATTTTCAAAATAGGGTTTCGCGGCCAGTCACTGCACTTTCTCAGGTGCGTCATTTCTCTGGACTTCCCACCTCCTTTTACCCTCCCTTCCTCGAGTGAAGTTTGGGAGTCCTTACCACTTTCCAGTTCCTAGCTGCTGGGTTGGTGGACCATGGAGGATTCCTTGGGAGTGTAACATATATATATAATAACATTATTTCTCTCTAAACTATCTTGAGAAGAGGGTGAAGCTGGGAACCCTCTCTCCTTCTCCCTCCTATTGTTCCAGGAGGTTTGATGTGGGAGGGAGCTGGACCAGCCATTTGTGGATTCTCCTTGTAATACTGAGTTGAGGTTGATAGCACCCTGTTCCTATGGTTGAACAGATGTTCCACATCCACAACCCCCTTTCCTTCACCCTCCTATTGGGCCAGGAGGTTTGATGTGGGAGGGAGCTGGACCAGCCACTTTTGGATTCTCCTTGTAATACTGAGTTGAGGTTGATAGCACCCTGTTCCTATGGTTGAGCAAATGTTCAACATCCTACTTGTAATTCCTTATGGTTGAGTAGAGATTTACACACTGCCATACTTCTGAGTTCAGTTTGGTGTACTTCTTTCCTCCTACGGTTGATGGGAAAGTTTGTTCAATGATTGTTGTTTGCTTATTTCCTCATTGTAATTCCAGTTGCTTGCAGTATGGCACTGTGTTTTCTTGCAGTTGGGATTAGTGTATGAGCTAGGCTTTCTTAAGTGTCCAATTTGAGGTTGCCAGTGTTCTGGGGCAAATTTCTCTGAGTACCTTACAGAAACATATAATAATTTTTAAATGATAGACAATGAACAGAGATTTCCAAACATATATAATATGTTGAGTTTGTGTTAAGTTTTTCCAGCAAACCAAGGAAATAAACTATGGTCGGGTGTTAAAAGTAGCATGTCGCCAGCAGTAAAATTTAATTTCACAGCAATAACACAAGCACAAAAATTGTAAGTATGACTGAAGTCTTTATTGTGATTAATGAGTAAATATTTATGTTTTGAAAATTTTTTATTAACTGATTGGCCCATTACTTTTTCCCTTGTAAAATATCCTAAATATCAGTTGCCCTAATTATGTCTTCTTCTTTACTGTTGTTTATTTTCAAGACGATAATTACAAATTTTTGAGTAAGTAAAGAAAGAATCTAAAATCAATCTAGGAAGTATATAATTTAATTTGATCATACCCCAAACATATTTTGGGTACGTCAATTTTGAGTTTCTAATAGAATTAGTTCTTTTTTAAGCACATGGATCTCCGTTATGCACATATCTAGTGTAGATACTCAAATTATGTCATTTTGTTATATCATTATTCACAACAGTCAAGACAGTTATTGTTATCAATAACTGAAAGGGTAAGAGTAAATTGCATTCTTCAATATAAATCACTTGAAATTGCGTGAACTCCTTTACATGTTCTCCTTTACTTCAGTTTTGCTTCAGAGGGGAGTATATAGAGTGCACAATGCTTTTCCTGCCATATTTAGTTTCCACCACATGCAGATGATTAGGGTAGTGTGGATTTGAAATGTATTAGTCACAAATCAACTCATCTTCCTGTAAGAAAAGTCCTTGAAAGTGGATTACATAACAGGTATATATCTTTTTTAACCGTATAACTAACACCCAAATGGTGTGAGTGGTGATTTGGTGATTTGTTATTCTCCTGCTTTCTTCATATTGTTTCCAGTGGTTCTGTGGTACGTTTTTCAACTTGTACACCTCACACAAGGTGTGTGTATCTTTTTTAACTGTATAACTAACACCCAAATGGTGTGAGTGGTGATTTGGCGGTTTGTTATTCTTCTGCTTTCTTCATATTGTTTCCAGTGGTTCTGTGGTACATTTTTCAACTTGTACACCTCACACAAGGTGTGTGTATCTTTTTTAACTGTATAACTAACACCCAAATGGTGTGAGTGGTGATTTGGCGGTTTGTTATTCTTCTGCTTTCTTCATATTGTTTCCAGTGGTTCTGTGGTACATTTTTCAACTTGTACACCTCAC